TTCTTTTTCATCTCCAGGGCCTTCTCCTTCCTCATCTCCTTGGCCAGCTCCCCAATCAGCCTCCAGTATTCATTGAACTTGAGCTCAGAGTCCTGGTTCACATCCAAGCTCTTCATCTTCTCATCTAGGGAGCCAACATCCTGGGGAGACATCAAGAGGAAGGACAGAGTTAGAAACCAGGATTCTGGAGACAAGTAGTAGGAAACGCCAGTCCAAGTCCCCATTCTCTAAGGTAGGGAAGGGCTACAGCCCCAGGGCAGGGCTGCCAATGTGCTTCAAGGGCACCAGCAAGGAGAGGTGGAGAAATCCAACCTGTAACCTCTGCTAGGGTGTAAACACTCTCATCACAGTCGATTTCAAACCACACACATGATGTCAATGGACGCAGAGCTGAGAAACGAGGTGTACAGCTCTGACCAGCAGGCATGAACTGGCCCCAACATATCACTGTATCAGCCATGAGATCTGACCAAGGACACTCAGGGATGCTGGGCATACGAGTCTGGTCACCCTCAGAGCCACTCTCCTTTATAAAAACTGTACAAGTTCACATGACTTAGCTGCTTATTTGCATAACATGGTTGGAATCCACCACCTGCTCCATGGAAGATGGGCGATCTCCTCTCAAGCGATTTACCACCTCTGAAAACCCTCCGGAGGGTCAACGATGAGTCAGTTCCGGCCGGACGGTAGATACACAGTAACAGCAATGCTTCCCTCGGGGAGCTCTGGGGGCAACTCCCTAGAAAGCTGAGTTGCTAAGCTAAAGGCAAAGTCTCTATGGCATTTCTAATCCACCACCAGCTCTGATGGAGGAAGGTGGGAAATATCCTGGCTGATTTACAGCCTTGGAAATCCAATGGAGGATCAGCTATGAGTTGGTTGTGATTCACCAGCAACAAATGGCACCAGCAAGGCAAAGGGGAGAAATCCAAGAGTGTTCTTGCCACAGCAGATGTTAGAGCCCTGGTGGCACAGTGAATAACAAATTGGGCGGCTAACCAAAAGGTCAGCAGTTCAATCCACGAACTGCTCTGTGAGAGAAAGAGCAGCAATTTCCTCTCATAAAGGTTTATAGCTTCAGAAGTCTTTCACCCTCGAAGAGTTGTATAAGCCAGGACCAACTTGACAACAGTATGTAAGTTTGGGTGGTGCCTTGCCTAGGAGCTCTGGAAGTTCAAGTTCACCAGAAAGTTCTGAGAAAGACGTGGAAGTCTACTTCCATAGAGAATACAGTCTTAGAAGCCTGTGGGGTAGTTCTATTCTGTACAAGGTAACCACGAATCAGTTGAATTCGCACATCTTCCCAATTATCCAGTCTGGTGGATCAGAAGAATGGCAAAGACATGAGTTATCTGGTTTTCTAGAGGTTCTTGATGAAGTCTCTCATGACAGGTCTGTGAAATCAATGGGTACTGGAAGTTGAACCATAACAATTAAAGGATGTATTGCTGGATAAACAGTCACAACCAAAAAGTTGATTGCTATAAAAAAGACCAGGCTTGCTTGTCTGATAGAGAATGGTGCAACTCCCAACACTGTCACCCTTTTAGGCTGAAACTGAATTCATTCCTGTTAGACCACTGAGTGGAAAGTAACACCAGGGAGGTGCTCGCACTTTAGCACAATCAACCATGCAAGAGCAAAAGAATAGCATTTGACCAGAGATAATGTTCAGAAAGGAGAAAAGGATAGGATAGAAGATTAATGAAAACAAGGATCACAAAGAAGAAGTGGGAAGGATGCTGTTACCATATGGGTATTGTAACCAAAGGCACAAAACAAAAGACATGTGAATGGCTGAATGGAAAATTTGCTCTGTAAACCTTCACTCAAATCACACGAAAAGATTTTCTAAAAAGTGAATGTTGACAAAACAACTATGAGATATCATCTCACCCCAGTCAGAATAGCAAAATTTAACAGAACAGCAAGCAACAAACACTGGCGAGGTTGTGGGGAAACTGGAACCCTGATTCACTGTTGATGGGAGTGTAAAATGGTGCAACCACTGTGGAAAATAGTGTGGCGCTTTCTCAAAAAGTTGCAAATAGAGATACCATTTGACCCAGCAATTCCACTACTGGGAATATACCCCAAAGAGACCATAACTGACATCCAACCAGATATATGCACACCCATGTTTATTGCTGCTTTGTTCACAATAGCAAAGAGTTTGAAACAACCTAAGTGCCCATAAACAAACACATGGATAGAGAAGCTGTAGTATATTCACACAATGGAATACTATGCTGCACTGAAAAACAAGGAACTCATGCAATATTATTCAAAATGGGTGACCCTGGAGGACATTATGTTGAGTGAAAAATCTCAGTCACAAAAGGACAAATACTGCATAGTGCCACTGTTGTCAACAGGACTGACATCGGGGTTGAGGGAAGACTGAGAAAGATGGGATAAATAATTTATACTGCATTGAAACAGATGAGGGAGAAAATTGTTTAAAAGGGATATGTGATTAGGTATTTTTGTCATAACAGGAATCCAGAATGAAGGCTGTATAGTGGAGTGGACTTAGGGGGAAGAACTATATAACAATGAAATAATTTTTCTTTTACTTTCCCAAGAGAAGAATGGATTGAGGGGAAGGGAAGGGTGGGCAGGGAGAAAAATGCAACAATGAATGAATGGAAATCCTCAGTCTCTGTAAAATTACATTAAAATTAATAATAATTTTTTTTAAAAAGTGAGTGTTGAACAACTGATCAATATCAAGCCAAAGAAAGATGACTCAGACAGAGCTTGACACTCCATATTTGGATGAAGACTAAGATCTGCCAAGTCTATCGCTAGCACCAAGTTAACTTACAGAAGAACTGACAAGAATGTTAAAGTCACATCACGCTTAGTCATAAAATATTCTAACTAAGGGTTGACAGCTGAAGGCCATGCTGCCCAGTGTATAATTATATCAGGAGGAAAAACAATAACACAGTCTGGGGAAATAAAAGGGTTAAGTATTAGGAAAGAATATTAGCAATTATATAATTGTATACTTGGAAGAAACAACAAAAGTGTGATAAAGTCTAGCACTTCAGTAGGTGTAAGCACTTAATAATGCTGACTGCTCCAGACATTATGCTAAAAAAGCTCATGCTGACTTCATCTGATCTTTCCAATCTGCTACCACGAAAGACTGGGCCTTCTCCCATCTTGTCCACCACTTTAAGCCCAGCCTGAGAGGATGTCTGACACCCTCCAGATGCCTGTTTACCACTGTAAGTTAGGACAGTATCAGGACAGGAAACAGCAGCCAAGCAATAAACACTGGTCAAATAAATACAAGACCAACCTAATGAGATGGGTATTGTTATGAGTCTATATCACAGGTAAGAAGATTAAGACATTAAAAAAACTAAATAACTAACCAAGGATGACAAACTTGCACCTGAACCTAGATTGTCTGGCTCAGAATGTATACTTGGTATTTCTCACAAAAAAGAAAAGAAAAATTGTTAGAAAGGGTAACGTGTCTGGTTACAATATTAACACACAAAATCCATTAACTTTTAAGTACACAGAAGTTAACCAATTAGAAAGTACAATGAAGGGGGGGAGGGAATCTTGTCTAAAACAGGAAAAAATACTTGGGGACCCAAAACCATAGTCTCAGGAAATGTTAAGATCAATTAGGCACAATATAGCTTAAAAAGACATGTTTCACATAGTACACTGGTGAGTGGCAAGTGGAGTCTTAAAAGCTTGTGAGTGCCTCAGACGCAACCTCTGGCCTCTCCTCCTGCAGGGCAAAGAAGAATGAAGAAAATAAAATATGCATAGAAACAAGGACTAACAGATCAGAAAAAAAAATTTCCTTTCATAACCCTGAAATCAGAACAAGGGTTGTGCCTGCCTACCACTACTGGCTGCTCTTAAGGGGCTCTTAATTTAATAGGGGGAAATGTGGAACAAAACTCAAAAATCATATTTTTTTTAAAAAAAAGACCAGCCTTACTAGTTATATGGGTGGAACCCCCTTTGAAGTATGGAACTGAACAAAAGAGCTTATAAGGCAGGCTGTAACACAGGCACTCCTGACCAACAGGCACTCCTTAGAACAATCACTTGCAATTAAAGGGGCAACATTTGTCCAAGGACAAAGATCAGAAGCCATGAAAAGAGGGGAGGGAGACTAGAAATGAGAAATACAGGAGGTGGGGAAGGAGAAGAAAAAAAAAGAATGCCTAGGGTATCCAGAGAATGTTACCTAGGCCACCTTCTGCCACCCTCCCCCCCCCCCATTAAACCTGAAAGCAACACCCTCAAAGCCCTTCTATTTGTAACTCACAAGTTTGTTCTCTCTAGGTTTGCTCCCTTTCCTATAGGTAACCTTAACTCTGAGTTTTACTCCATAATTGACCCTGAACCCAGTGCCAGTGACAAAAAGGAAATACAACTGACAGCTAAGGAAGCAAAGGAGGATGGAGCCTCTGGGCTCAACCAGCCATCCCCACTGGACCCACCTGGGGAAACACTTTGCAGTCCAGAGGGGAGCAAATAACAGGAAAATATCTTCTAACAGAGCAAGAAGGCAAGCAGCTGTAACCCAAGACCACCAGTAAGGTGATAAAGCATCCTCCCTTCCCCCCTTTACATCTACGCCCCTGTTCAGCATGAAGAAGTCAGAGAGTCGGCATCCAATTCCCAAATCAATGAGACAGTTGGTTTAATTACTATTGGAAAATGCTTGTCATTCCTCTGTAGCATCTGGTCCCCACTGGACCCTCATCATTTCCTTCACCTGCTCCCCCCACCGACCAAACTGTGCAGCTCTGCAACTGCATCCTGGCCCATCCTCACCCTTCTGCCCCCAACCCTCACCTCCTTGTACCCCCAATATGTTTTTCCCAATAAAAAATATTAAAATAAAATAAAGACAAAAAGAAATACAGGAGGGGAGGATGTGATGAGTGAGAGTACATGGACTAAAGTATATGTGCTCAGTTGATTAAAACTGATTTGCTCTGTAAACCAGAAGTGGAAATGTAGCTCAGTGGTAGAGCATTTGACTGCAAGTCAAGAGGTCCCTGGTTCAAACCTAGGTACTTCCTTTAAGTTCTATGATCTCAACAGTTCCTTAGTCCTCCTGTTCATCCCATGGTGATATGAAAGCTAGACTTTGACCAAGAGGCTGTTGTCAGAATAGAGCAAGGAAACACAGAATTGTTTAAAATCAGGAAAGGCATGTGTCAGAGTTGTATCCTTTCTCCATTCCTGTTTAGTCTGTGTGCTGAATATAATTACATGTTCTGGGATTCCCAGTCTTCTCAACGTTATCTATCATTTGTTAGATCCACATAGTCTTTGGTGATAAAACAAGGAAACACCTTTCTCCTACTCTCTGCTTTCTGCCAAGATCTGACTGACATCAGCACTGATATTTCTCCTTTATCGTTCTCTTCTGAATCTGGCTTGAATTTCTGGAAGTTCCTTGTTGATGTACTGCTGCAACTGTTTCTGAATTATCTTCAGCATAATTTTATTTGCATGTAATATTAACAATACTGTTCAATCATTTTCTAATCCCACTGAATCATCTTTTTTTGGGAATGGGTACTAGTTAGCCAGCCAGTTGGCCATTTCACTTCTTAGAATTGACACGTGAGAGTTGCCATGACTACATCTTTTTGTTGAAACACTTCCCACAGGTAGTCACCTCCCAGAGCCTTCAGTGCAGCTTGGACTTCTTTCTTCTGTATCTTTGATTCTCGAGCAAATGCTGCCTCCTTAAGTGGTCGAGTATTGACCAATCCAATTCTTTTTGGTACATTAACGTTTCCTCCATCCTTTCACATTATGCCCACAGACTCCTTCAATACTGCAACTCACTCCTTCACTGTCATTGAGTTGGAAGTAACTCATAATCAACTCTCCAGTGGGTTTTGAGTGGTTGTAAACTGCACAGAAGGAGATTGCTCATTTTTCTCCCTCTGAACACCTAGTGGATTCAAACTCCTTACCATCAGGCCACCAGAGCTCCCTTCATTGGAATTAGCAGTTGGCATATAAATTAAAGTCACTATTGACAGGGACTTCTGGTGGTGCATAGTCGTAGTGAATTGCATTGCTAACCCAAAGGCCATGCTTTAGGCTGTTCTGATCCACTAGCAGCTTCAGCAGAGATTGTGATACAATCTTGGAAATCCAACAAAAAGTCACTGTAAATAGGAACACACTAGCCAGCACTGAGTTTTTGAGTTTGAGTTGTATTAACTCATCCTAGCTCTAATACTACTGTATTTCAGGATACATCTTTTTTTTTTAATTCTGAAAAAGAGAGAAGCTGAGGCAGAGGTCCTCTCACAGCTTAGCACTGAGAAAAGGGCCCTTTCTTAGTCTCCCTGTGGGTTTTTTTTTAATTTTTATTTTTGTTTAGTTTATTATTAATTTTGATGAAAATTTACAGAGACTTTGGATTTCCATTCATTCAT